AGATGTGTTAGGTGGACGGCTGGTGAATGAAGACGACCTCCCTGATAGCTCGAGCGAGAATACCACTGCTTAGGCTGTTGTCCTGTAATGACTTAGTTTATTTTTCTTACTTTCTGAACTCATGTTTTATGTTGATGAACTTGTTATGTAAATAATTTGCCTTTTCCATTTGCGGTTCTTGTCTCATTCTTTTGATGATTCTCGTTTTGCTAAGGTTCGAATTTGACCTTCGACTTTAGTCTAGGAATTGAATCTGGGATTTTGGGCTGCTTTGGAGGTTTGAAACTTGTCCTACATTATGCGTTCTGAGGCTCAAACTTGGCCTGTGAAGGTTTAATCTTGACCTTTGTTTGTTAATTGTGATCGTGTCAAGGTTCGAACTTGACCATAATTTTCGCCGAGGTTTGAATTCGACCTTGGCGTAACGTGATATAATTCGTGTCGAGGTTCAAACTCGACCTTGGCTTATCGTAACATAATTAGTACCAAGGTTCGAATTCGACCTTGGTTTATCGTGATATAATTCGTACCAAGGTTTGAATTTGACCTTGGTTTAACGTGATATAATTCGTACCAAGGTTCGAATTCGACCTTGGTTTAACATAGTGTGATTTGCGCCAAAGTTCGGATTCGACCTTGGCTTAACATAATGCAATTCACGCCGAGGTTCGAACTCGACCTTGGCTTATCGTAACATAATTCGTACCAAGGTTCGAATTCGACCTTGGCTTATCGTAACATAATTCGTACCAAGGTTCGAATTCGACCTTGGCTTATCGTAACATAATTCGTACCAAGGTTCGAATTCGACCTTGGCTTATCGTAACATAATTCGTACCAAGGTTCAAATTTGACCATGGTTTAACAAAGTGTAATCCGCGCCAATGCGGTGTAAAATTAATAAGGAGATATGAGTGGAATGAGTCATTTTATTGATGTTAAAGTTATGCCTCGTTAAAAACCCTCTCAGTCAAAACCCATTTTTCTGTTTTTTGGGACAAAAGACTGAGTCGGGAAAAGAATGCATAACCCGTTTGTACATTTCAACTGAAGTAAAACTTGAGATACGTGGCATTCCAAGTTTAGGGGATAGGTTTTCTGTTGAGCTCTTCTAGTCGGTACGCCCCATTTTTAAGGTTTTCTGTGACTCGAAATGGGTCATCCCAGTTAGGTGCGAGTTTTCCTTCTGATGAGTCTCTTCGTGCTTCGCCTAGTAGTCGCCACACTAGGCCGCCAACCCGGAAAGAGCGAGGTCAAACTCGCGTGTTGTATCTTCTAGAGGCTCGAAGTTTGCAGGCTTCTTCATGGATCCGGGCTTCCTCTCTGACCTCATCCACCAGGTCGAGGCTGACTACCATTTCTTGAGCGTTTTTCTCACTGTCGAAGGTTTGACGTTGATGAGAAGTCTCTCTGACCTCCACTGGGATCATGGCATCGGCTCCATAGGTCAGCCTGTAAGGCGTTTCCTGCGTTGTTGATTGGGGGGTACAGTGGTACGCCTAGAGAATGCTGGGGAGTTCATCGACCCATTGACCTTTGGCACTTCCTAGTCGCTTCTTGAGTTCTCGGAGTATTATTTTGTTCGCGGCTTCGGCTTGGCCATTGGTTTGGCGATGCTCCACCGAGGTTGGAAGATGCTTGATTCCGAGCTCTCGGAGGAAGTCCTCGAAGCTCTGCGCGATGAACTGTCTATCATTATCAGTGACGAGAGAATGTGGGATGCCAAACCCGCAAATGATACTCTTCCAGATGAATTTCTGGACATTCTCGGCAGTGATCTTGGCAAGTGGGCATGCCTTGATCCAGTTGGTGAAGTAGTCGATTGCCACTAGGAGGAATTTGAGTGGACCCGTCGCGGGGGGAAATGGTCCGAGGATGTCCATTCCCCACTGGGCGAAAGGCCACAATGACATCATCTGGTGGAGAACTTCAGGTGGTTGCCGATGTGCGTTGCCAAACTGTTGACATTCCTTACACCTTTGTACATAAGCTTGGCAATTCGACTTCAATGTGGGCTAGTAGTACCCAGCCTGGAATACCCTGGTCGCCATCGAGCGGGCCCCAGAGTGCATCCCACAGATCCCTCGGTGGATCTCTTTAATGACATAGGTGGCTTGGGATTCTGCTAAGCATTTCAACAGTGGGGTGGAGATGTCGCGTTTGAACAATTCATTTCTGACGATGACGAACTTAGCTGACCTTACCCTTATCTTCCGAGCTTCATCTTTATCCTCGGGTAGAGTTCCCTCCTTTAAGTAGTTCCAAATGCTTGCCATCCATCCTTGGTCTTCGTTGTCACTGGCGTTGATGACATTGTCGTCTAGGCTGGGTGAACTCAGGGTCTCTTGGATGATGGCCTGGTGTTGTCCAAAGCGATTGGTACTGGCGAGCTTGGATAGGAGGTCGGCTCTGGCATTCTGCTCTCAGGGCACATGGTGTATGGTGAACTCGTCAAAGGATGAGATCTTCTGAGATGCTGCATGGAAGTACCTCTGTAGAAGGGTGTCCTTAGTATGGTATGCCCCGCTAAGTTGCTCCACCATGAGCTTTGAGTCACTGTTGCAACTTACTCTTTGTGCTCCCAGGTCATGAGCCAACCTCAGCCCTGCCAGAAGCGCTACATATTCCACTTGGTTATTGGTGACTTTAAAACTGAACTTGAGGGATTGCTCTATTGTGACGTTGTTTGGTCCTTCTAAAATGACACCTACACCACCACCTTTAGAGTTGGAAGATCCGTCAACATGTAGAGTCTATACCTGTTTTTCTTCTGCCAAGGTGGGGGTGAGTTCGGCCATGAAATCTGCTAGGCACTGAGCTTTCAAGGGGCCTTGGCTTTCTTATTGGATGCCGAACTCGGATAGCTCCATTGACCATGCTGTCATACGCCCAGCGAGCCCCGGTTTTCTCAAGATTTGCTTAATTGGGTAGTCGATTTTGACGACCACCTGGTGACTTTGGAAGTAAGGTTGGAGACGTCGAGCTGCGGTGACGAGCGCTAATGCCAGCTTCTCGATCGTCTGGTATCGCTTTTTCGTGTCTTGAAGGACTCGACTGATGAAGTAAATCGGTGTTTGCACTTTGTGGTGCTCTTGTACTATGACTGCGCTGATCGTGCCCTCTGCCACAACCAGGTAGAGGAGGAGTTCGGCGTGGTGATCTGGCCTCTAAAGAATCGGTGGAGTCGCGAGGAAGACTTTGAAGCTCTTGAAAGGTTCTTCGCATTGCTTGGTCCACTCAAAGTTCTTTGGCTTCCGTAGCAAGGTGAAGATAGGCCCTGCCTTTTCTGCCAACCTGGGGATGAAACGGGAGAGAGAGACTAACCTTCCTTCCAAGCATTGGACATCCTTGACAGTCTGGGGGCTTTGTATCTGTATAATGGTTTTGCACTTCTCCGGGTTGGCTTCAATCCCCCTGCTGGTGATCATAAAGCCAAGAAATTTACCTCCCTGGACGCCAAAAACACACTTTTCTAGATTGAGACGCATATTGTGTTTTCGGATTTGGCTAAACACCTCGGCCAAGTCAATGGCATGAGCCTCGGCTGACAATGTCTTGACGACCATGTCGTCCACGTACACCTCCATGTTCCTTCCAATTTGGTGTTGGAAGACCTTGTCCATCAGGCGTTGGTAAGTGGCTCCTGTGTTTTTGAGGCCGAAGGGCATCACGCGATAGTAGAAATTTTCATGGTCGGTGATGAAGGTTGTGTGCTCCTCGTCTGGTGGGTACATCATGATCTGATTGTACCCCGAGTATGCGTCGAGGAAGCTGAGGAGGGTATGGCCAGAAGCGCCGTCAACCAACCTGTCAATGCTCGGTAGGGGGTATGAGTCTTTGGGACACGCCTTGTTGAGGTCGGTATAGTCTACACACATGCGCCACTTCCCTGAGTTCTTCTTGACCAGTACCACGTTCTCCAGCCACGTGGTGTATCTGACTTCGCGGATGAAGCTCGCGTTCATCAACTTCCATTTTTCAACGACGATGGCGTCGCATCGTTCTCCTCCGACTTTCCTCTTTCTCTAAGCGATTGGCTTAGCTTCCATATGGATGGCTAACCTGTGACAGATGAGGTTAGGGTCGATACCTAGCATGTCTGCGCTTGACCATGCGAAAAGGTCGGTATTCTTGGAGATTTCCTCAACGAGCCGTTGTCCCAGCTCTGGGTTTAACTACCGACTTATCTTCGTACACTATCCGGGGAGTTCACCGACTTGAAGGTCGTCAAGCTCGTCGATGGGACTTGGCTATTCGTCATGGGATTCCAACCTTGGGTCCAGGTCAGTGATGTCAACCTGGGCAATGTGAGCTACCATAGGGGGTCACCTTTGTGGCGTTCCTCGGATGGCGAGACCTTCAAGCTTTCGGCATAGCATTGCCGAGCTGTCTTCTGATTTTCTCTTACTGAGATGATCTTGCCATTGCTCCCTGGGAACTTCATCGTCATTTGTGGGGTGGACACCACAACTCCGAGTTGGTTCAGGATAGGCTTGCCGATGATGATGTTGTACAACGTATTGGCCTCAACGAGGAGGTATCTGACCATGATTTTCCTTGAGTTAGGAGGTGTCCAAAAGGTTGTCAGCAGTATAGGACGTTAGAAACGTCGGCCAGTATAGGACGTTAGCCGAGCTTCCTTGGTCGATCAACGTCTTGTGGACTTCCCAATTGGCGACTTTCACGACGATGACCATGGGATCATCCTGGTTTGGACAGATGCCAGTGTAGTCGTCGTCGGTGAAGGTCATTGGTGGTGTGTTGTGGTGCAGGGCCGAGGTGGCAGAATGGACATTATTGATGCTGCACTAGTGTCTTTTGCGCGCCGATCTACTAGAGCCTCCCCTTGCAAAGCCACCTGCAATTGTATTGATGACTCCACGTAGGGGAGCCGTTTCTGTGTCATGACTTACCTCGGCATGCACTGCGCTGCCGGTGTTCTGTTGAGACCTGGAGGGTTGGTCTGTTCGAGTCCCTGAACCTCGGCTGCGTCCTCTTCCTCATCCGTGGTAGCCTCCTTTGTGAGATTGTTGTCGTTGGACGTATTGCCCGAGGTGCCCTCCTTGAACGAGTTCCTCAATGCGGTCCCTGAGTGTGCGACATTCCTCGATTGTCTGACCATAGTTTCTATAGTATCGGCAATGTTTTGATTTATCTGCACTATTGGGACTGTGGCCAGGCGGTGGCAGAGTGACCAGATTATTGTTGCTGGCCTCCTCTAGGATGTGTACTCGGGGCGCATTCAGGGGGGTATAGAAGTCATACCTCCCTCCTTTGTTTGCCCTAGCAGCCTTCTTGAATTGGCTGTCGTTGGTGACTTTCATCTTATCCTTGTGGCCGTGGTCCAGCTTCGCCTGTGATTTTCCACGAACTTGGTCGCGAAAAGCAGAGTGTTCTTCCATCTGAATGTACCCTACAGCTCGGGCACGGAGTTCTTCCATATCTGGGGGAGGTCGCCGACACAGACTATCGACGAAAGGTCCTGGCTTGAGCGCCATGAGCATGGCGTGTAGGGCAACCTCGGGGTTTAGGTTTCGGATTTTAACCGAGATGCTAGCAAAGTGCTTCATGAACACCCTTAATGTCTCGTCGTCGCCCTGTTTAAGGCTGGCCAAGGCGGCAGATGTGATGTGATGAGGTCGACTCGTTGCGTACTGCGACGTGAATCGCCTTACCAAAGTGTCGAAGTTATCAACTGATCCTACCGGCAATTGAGTATACCAGGCAAGTGCTTGATGGAACTACTTGGAGAAGATTGATGAATCTTCAAGTGCTCTATTCCAAGACCTTTAAACTCTTGAGGTTGACCACGAATTTGGATGAGGAACTTCTTTGAAGAAGCTTCAATGGAGAAGAATCACCAAGGAGGTTCGGTTACTCCATGAAAGAGTGATGAAACTTGTTGAACAAGCTAAAAGGTTGGAAACCTTTGAGAGAAACTTAGAGAGAAAGTTTCTCCGCGAAATTTAGGACTTTAAGAGGAGAGAATTTGAGTCAAATTCTGATTTCATATCTCAAAAAGTGAAGTACAACGAGCAATTTAGAAATATATAAGGAGAGGTAGCTTATAGAGGAAGCTAACCTTAACCATGGTTCACTAGGAACCATGGTAAGGTGTAGCTAACCATCCATGGTTTCTAAAACTTGTAGGAGAAGCTAACCTTGACCATGGTTCACTTAAGAACCATGGTAAGGTCAGCCAAACCTACTAAGGTTTAGAAGCTTGGAAGGAAAGCTTCAAATCTTGTAAGAGAAGCTAGAAATTTCGGCCAAGAATAAAAGGAAATGAGCTAGGCGGGCAAGGCTCAAAAATGCTCCATGATTTATTTCAAAAATATTTGATTTGGTTTAGTTAGGTTCATCATATGATGATGAGACCTAGCTAAATCAAATCTATGAAAAATTAGGAGCAAAATGAGTCTAATATGCAAAATTTTGCGTAGGCCCAGTTCTGGCCCAATTACTAGTCACACCCTCAAGCATTGCTAAATGCCACCCCTTTTTCCCTACTGAAAAAATATAAAATGAATGTATCAACAAAGGAGGTTAAATGGAGTTAAACTCTCCAAGTAACCTACCCTAAAATCAATATACAATCACTAGTTAAAAGCAAGTAAAGTGCCTCACAAATACAAAGGCAAAAATAAGCCTATACAAAGAGACTACTATATGTACAAACATATGAAAGGTCTTTAATATCATCCCATTCCCTTGGTTCTTTTAAGATATCACCTCTTGGATTCCTTGGCCTTGGCCATAGTCTATTAGTGCTACTCCCTTGAGAGAGGTCAGAAAAACCTTACACAGAATAACATCCTCGTTAGTGTATAGGTTTACTTGTGTGACGTACAGATCGACGTGCACATCTGGGTCAGTAGTGTCATCGTAACGGTCGATGTTGAGAGGCTTCCATCCAAAAGGAAGGGGCGTCTCCATGATGCCGTCAACAAAATGATGGCGACGGATGCTTGCCCTATGTCCTGGACCCTGGGCAAGCGCATTGCTGACTTCATGGTCTGACCTATTCGTCGGTACGTGTGACCGATGTATAGTAAACTTGTGGTTCGGTGCCCTGGGTGCAGTCGGTGGCTAGGAAATTGAGTGCCCCTCTTCCTCATTTTGATTGCTCGGTTGAGGGGGCTGATCAGAGGGGTGCCGAGGAAGCTGGGCACCGATGCGCTCATTGTCAGTGCGCAGCGCTGCTAGGTCAGCCTCGTGCTTGGCACGAATGTTCTCCAGGTCGACGGCGTGTTGCTACCGCATTTGATCGACCTGCTCGATCAGCCTCCTCAATGCTGCTTCACCTTCTATTCTGGTTGCGCGATCTAGGTCGTCTGTTGCTCTTCTACTATGGCTTCGGGTGAAAACCATAAGCGTGGCCGATAAGAGATGTCTTGATCGGCCCCACGGTGGGTGCCAAATGTTCTTACTGCAGATCGGTCGTAAGGAACGATCTGCTGGGCAAGATTGGTGAGCCTCCTTCACTGGGTACGCTTGATGTTCCAAGGCGGGGATGGTACCTGCAAAAGAGACTTCGATGTTAAAGTTAGTGTTTGTGGGTGTATGGGTCTCGTATAAGTAATGCACGTACCTTAGTGTGAATTAGGGTTTATCTGGGCCTTGGGCCTAAGATCAGTTGTGACCTGTTCAGATAGTGGGCCTTATCTTGGCCGATGTTGCATAGCGCGTGTCTGATGTCAATCTGCACTGTGATGCCGAGCTCGAGCTCGGCTTCGCGGTACGGATAGTACAAATAATAATAATAATAAAATAAAAGTTTTGGAGAGTAGGGTCAGAGCATTAATTGTTGTGTGAAAACCTGTGTGGAGGAAGACAACAATGTTGTTGAAGAAAAACTACTACGAGAATTGCGCAGCTGGCTGCAAGGCACATTGACTCAAAAGGGGAAATAACTATATTGGTATATATGTTGGTAGGTGAAATAACTAGAAAAGCATATAAATGACTTGAAACGATAAAAGATAGCAGAATTTAAAGAAGAAAAGCTGTAAATTCAATATAATTAATTTAAAGATAAATTGGAAAAGCAAATTGAAAGAAGGAAAATACGTGTTTGATTGATTTGATCCTTTTTATGTGGTTTGACACATTTATTTACAAAATTCAAAATGGGAACATAAGTCGTGTTTTGACAGCTTACAATCACTAACTAGTATTATGTTCGATCGTCTCAATTATTTGATTTTGATTTCTGATAGTTTCTCACGTTGGTGCACACCGTAGATCCAATTCTTTAGGAAGTATCTATGAAATGATAGGGTTTTAATTTTAAAATTGTTCTTACCGGAGATTTGTGGTAGAGGTGATCCGCTGGGTAAGATCGGTGAGCCTCCTTCGCTGGTACGTTAGATGCTCCAAGATGGGGGTGGTACCTGCAAAAGAGACTCCGATGCTAAAGTTAGGGTTTGCGGGAGTATTAGTCTCGTATAAGTAATGCACGTACCTTATTACGAATTAGGGTTTTTCTGGGCTTTGGGCCCGAGATCAGTTATGACCTATTTGGGTGACGTGCTGACGTCATACAGCGCGTGTCCGAGGTCGTCCTGCGCTGTGATGTCGAGCTTGGAGCTCGGCTTCGTGGTACGGATAGTACAAAAACTCTTTGGAAGTATGATTCCTAATTTTTTGGCATCCAACTTTAACATTTTTACTTATCAAGACGTTTTAACAAAATTTCAAACTTGCATTATCTACTCACACTACTAGAATTTATCTTATTACATGCAATTTTTCCTGCGATTTTTTCATAAAAATTCGCAGGAAACGTTGTTCCTGCAAATTTTTTTGCGAAATTTTATCTGCACGTAATACCTTCGTGGATAATATTTTTTTGCGAATTTTAAAATTCGCAGGAAATTTTCCTGCGAAATTTCTTGCGAAAAAAACTTTCCTGCAAAAAAAAATTTGCAGGAAAGTTTCTTGCAAAAAAAATTTTGCAGGAAAGTTTCCTGCGAATTTTTTCGCAAGAAATTTTGCAAGAATATTTTTTACGAAAAAAAATAAAGATGTTACTATAAATTCTATCAATAATTTTTCAACTTTCAAATGCTCATAATGAATTCATCCGAAGCATTTGTTTCCATGCCTCCAACATGTGATACATAATCTTTTAAATTCTAAGTTTGTAGATTATAAGTCTAACACTCAACCATACAAATCAACTTGTAAGGTAAGTGTTGCCCCAACTTATATACTCTTTAATTGCTTTATTTTCAATTGATGTGGGACTTGAAGTTTTTTAAAATATTAAACTAATAAATTTAAATTTTTTTTATTTTTCCTGCGGATTAAAATTTGCAGGAAAATCCGCAGGAAAAATTACCTGCAAAATTTTTCTACCATTTAGTAAACATTACTTGCAAATTTATTTTTGCAAGAAAATCTGCAAGAAACAAAATAAAATTCTTACAATATTTTCTGCAAATTTTTACCATGGAAAAAAATTTCTATGATTATTAAAATTGTAGCAAAATTTGTAAGAAATATATGTAAATTATTTTTTACAAATAAATTCGCAAAAATTTCTGCAAATATTTTTTTTGCAGGAAATTCGCAAAAAATTTCCGCGAATATTTTTTTGCAAGAAAATTTGCAAAAAACTTCTACGAATATTTTTTTGCAGGAAAATTTGCAAAAAAAAAATGAAACTTTTTCTAGTAGTGTCAGTATATCTTTAACTACCTATATGGACGGACAAAATTCGGATATCTTATCCATTGAAGCTCTCCTAGATCACTTGTAAACTTGGATTCAAGCTCTCCTAAACTTAAAGACGCTCACACAAACCCAACACTTCTTTGTGATAAGATGAGCATTGTTTCCCTTTCTCATAATTGAGTTCTAATTTATTCTTTATTTGTGAGAAAGTTTCCTACAAACTTCGTGTTGTTCATGTTTCTACCATAGATCATTGTGTTGACATTCTCACTGAAGTTTTATCTCCTCTTAGGTTTCATGCTCTTCGACCCAAGTTTTGAGCAGTATATTTATGCGCTAAGAATTGAAATATATACATTAATTAAGCTTGTAGGGAGTATTAGAATAGATCAGTATACTCTACTTTATAATGTCCCAATTTTTAAAGATAAAAAATAAATAAATTAGAATAAAAGAAATATTTTATGTAATAAAATAAAACAAAGAAAGGTTAAAGAGAAGATTTTGGGTTGGTCTCTAAGCTCAACCTGAAAACTAATTGAAAGAAAAAAAAAAGGAAAGAGATTCGGTTATTGTGCGTGTCTTCTAAAACCCTGAAAACCCATAGGAGGACACCCAGAAGAGACCACCAAAAAAGGCATGAATTAGTGACCAAAGTTACATGAAGCGCGTTGTTGTGCAAGATCGCTATTCCAAGTAAGGGGAATTAAATGGTCAAATTTTTTGGACATATATGAGGGATAAGGGTAGATGAGCGATCCCTAAGCCCTATAGATTGTTGAATTTGATCTATATGATTGCTTATGTTTGAATTAATGATTTATCCTCTTATATTATATGAATTCAAGTTTTTATTAATATTGGATTGAGTTGTTAGTATAAATTATTGTATTTGTAGATTAGGATATATTATGTGTAAACTCGAGAAGTTTAATGGATTGAATGAATTGCATAATTTAATGATATATTATTATTATTTGAGGTAAGATAATCTAATTGAACTATTGAATGATGAGTTGAAATAATTGATGTTTGTATGAAAGTTTGAGGAAAGGATAACTATTTAAATAATTATTTTGTACATTTTAAAGGATAATTGAAGAGTTGATAGGAGGTACTAAGACTATGAATTGGAGAAGTAATTGATTAATAATGTTGTGAAAATTGTATGTAATAATGTTGTTTGAAGAATCTATCTTGAGAAGTAATGAATATTGTAATGATATATATATATATATATATATATATATATATATATATA